CTCTCGCATATGGCTTCCAGCAAGGTTTTTTCCCTCTCCCATTTCACGGGTGACTTGGCTATGGGCGCTCAGAAAACTTGGGCTCCTGCCTATAACTAAGAATATAAAGCCTTTCACAGAACATGTGAGGTGTAGAAGCCTTCAATGTGCACTATTTTCAGGCCGCACATCAACGTAAGACTTAGGATCGGGCCTCGGCGGCCATCTTCCTGAGTGTCGTTGCAAGGCGTCGCCCAGGGCCCACGTGAACTTTCCAGAACTTGGGCCCTTTTGTCTACCTCCCCCGCGACTGGACCCCGGAGCCTCTTCACTGGTGAGGCTGAGGAACATCGTGGATTCTATAGCACAGGCTTGCGCCTCAGAGTATCTCCCCTGAGGCCAGCTGGCTGCGAGGACCTGGCAAGGGGCAGGGACATGGGGAAGGGGAGGTAGGGGGAGCTCGCCTCGCCTTGCCCATCGTGTATCTTTAGGAGAGTCGCTACAAGGCCAAGGCCCTTCACAGCAGGTCTCCCGCTGCCGCCAGCCTGTCTGCCACCTGCTGGCTTCTGTTATGCCCGCATTACCCGTCGCCAAGCCAGTGGAGATAGCTCTGCCCTCAGTTGAAGGTTTTGTGACAGGTAGTTGGAGCAACAGGAATAACGGGGGAACGTAAATGATTTCCTGAGGGATGAGCGTCCGAGACGCGGCTCCGCACTATGTTTCTCCCTCCTTGGGTAAAAAGCCAGGTCACTCGTGGCCTCGTTTGAGACGTGGGCTCTAACGAAAAAGACCCACACCACCCACTGACGTCCAACTAGCGGCTGAGACAGTGCTGCGTCATCCCCAGCTGAGTGTCAGTGGCGGAGCAAGCTCCGCCCGGCGTGGGAGGCCACAGCCGCCGAGCCATCCCCGCCGGATGTCTCCGAGACCTCTCCCGGCGCCGGAGCGCAGCAGCCTTCTGAAGGGGCGCCGGCTTGTAAGGGTCGTGGCTCCTGCTCACCGGGGGGGTTCTTGTAATGCTTTCAGTAGCCGTGAAGAGCCAGACCCTGAGCTGGCCCTCGGCCGGCCGCACCCCACAGCCCAAAGTTCTTAGCAGAAAGGCGGGTGTAACCAGCCGCCAAGATGGCCACAACGCCGTCTCCGGGTCTGTCACACCGGCACCCTCTCCTTGGACCAGGCTGGTCGTGAGACGGAAAGCAGGGCGTGGGCACGCCCGGGACGGGGTTCTAAGGCAGCAGCTGTGGCCTTGAGAGTTGCCCGCCTCCCTCGAGGTCACCACCTTGCCCAGCTGTCAGATGCCAGCCCTCGGGGTGAGCAGCAGCGCCCGCGCGGGCGTCCGCCTGGAAGTCGCGCTCCCGTGGAAGGGCCTTCGGCTGAGAGGGCCCCGCCAGCAGCACCCCACCCGCCACTCCCGGCGCCGCCCCCGAAGCCCGGCGGGCGGGCAGCTGCAGGCACAGCCGTCGAGGTCATTTCGGCACGTGCCAGGCAGCGCCAGGCGTTTCTGCCCTGAGCTGCGAGGCCGCGGTCACCAGACGGCGTTGGAGAGACTTGTCCAGGGGCCAGACGCGTCAAAGCGGGGAGGACACTGGGGGGAAAGGCCCCGTGGGGATGAGGGGCCCAGGGGTGGGGGGTGGGCGCTTGCGGCTTCGGGGCTGCGGTCGCTGGTGCAGGGGCCTCTGGCTAAAGGAGGGGCCTGGGGCCTGGCCCAGGTCCAGCGCGGGCACCGTTGCCTCCCGTGTGGGGGTTGGGGAGACAAACGCGAAGCGGTACAGGCGGGACTGGGGGGGGCCTGGCCGGTTTCTGGAGCCGCCGCCCTGCGGAAGCCCCGCAGCCTGGCAGTGCGCACTCCTGCCTGCGCGGGGAAGGGGCTGGGCCTGTCCCTGTGTTACGCTGCCCTGACCGTCGCTGACCTGCGGCCACCGTTCCCAGCCGCTGCCCGGCTCGGCGCTGGCGCTTCTCCACGGGGCTGCCCGTCCGCCGGCTGGGCCGGCCCACACAGGAGGCGTCGGGCGCACACTGTGGAATAGAGCGGTCAGGGGGGAAAGGGAAAGGAAGTGGAGCCACCCTGACGGCACACAGCCCGGCTGCGGCGAGGGGCGGCCCGCTGCGTCCCCGCGCGCGGTCCACGGCAGCGCCCGGGCGTCCTGGTGCCCGCTGCGGTGACTGCGGGCCCCCGGCCGGGGGCATCCCCCTCGGGAGGCTCTGCTAGCCCCTTTTGGGGCTAGATTCTGCCAGATTCTGCTGGCAGAGAAGACGCCTCGCCTCTGAAAGGCGGGGTGCCCAGCAGCCCCGGCTCTGCAGGCTGCGAGGCCCGGCCTGTCCGCTGTGCGGCTGTCAGCCCTTCCGGTGAGGGTTCCGCGGCCTGGGGCCTTCCACACCCGCTCTGATGCGCTGCCGGAATGCGGGGGAGTGGCAGGCATTTGCCGTTCACAGAAACCTTAGGATGGAGCCAGAGGACCTTCGTCACTTGTCTCCATTCTCTGTAGCCGCACGGGAGCGTCTGTGGTGTCACCCGCTGCAGCAGCTGCGGGAGCCGAGCCTCTGCGCCTGGAGAGCGCCAGGGCCGCTCCCGCCCAGAGCCGCGGTGGCCTCTGGAGAAGCCTTACCGGCGGCGCTTCATTCGCTTTGGCATCTCGCCGGAGTCTCACAAACCTTCATCCAGGAAGGCGGGGGGCCCAGGCCCCTTTGCGGCCACAGAGCCCCGGGTACCTGGGGTGGTGGGGGTGGTGCTGGCCCGGTTGGTGTCCACTGTGGAGAGCCCAGTAGTAACTGCCCAAGAATTTTAAAAAACGCGCCACAAAATAGTTCCTTTTGACCAACTGCTATTTTAGCTCTACATCTTTGTCCTGGGGGGCGGGGGCTGGGCCCCCAGGAACGCTGGGCTGAGCGGAGTGCGGTGCACCTGTGTTCACTTCCCTTTCTCGGGTGGTCTCTTCTACCTCTGTGGATTTAGCCGTGACTTTGAGAACTAAAATTAAACATGCACCAACCTGCTGGGGTTAGAGCCAGGCCTCGCAGCCTGCACACTAACCTGAGGTTAGTGTGACCTTGATTCCAAAGCCAGATAAAGAAGCACAGGACAGGGGCCCTCGTTCTCAGAAATCCCAAGCCTGGCGCTGGCCAGCAGCCTCCACCCAGCAGAAGCCAAGCGCGGCCTGCAGGTGGGCGCGGCCACCCCACTCACCCGGCCTGCGGCCTGCTGGAGAAAACCCCCGCGGGGGACAGCAGGGAGCGTGGCCACCGCTGCAAGTCAGGACTGAAACCTCAGAAACGCAGCCGGGCGGGGCTCCCCCAGCTGGTACTCACTCCCACAGGCCCGGGCGCGCTAAGCCGTGGCCGGGTAGCGAGGACGCCCCCACTGCTTCTTCCAGATCCCACCCAGAGAGAGGTCTGGGGTGGCATTAGTAGTAATTTGGAAAAAATCCAATTCAACGAGACAAAACCAAGGGCAGCAGGGGGCAGCTCAGGCTTTCATTTGCCCTCACACAGCTGGGGCCGGCAGAGGCCTGACGCTTCTGGTCACTCCCGCCAGCGTCCCTGCCTTGGATTAGAGGTGCGGGTTTGCTCGGGGCTGTATTTGGGTC